AGATGGTATCCACGAGAAAAGAGGACGATTCTCTTGGGCGGCATAGTTGGCGTCCTTGATAAACTAAGGTGCAGGAAAGGCTACACTTGACTTGCACACCGCAGTGTAACAATTTAATCAACTGATAACATCGTACGTTATAGTTTTTTTGCAAGGTTGAGAATTACTAAGACGCATATACAAAAAAATGTATATATACTTGAGGGAATCCGATCACAGCATACTACAGTTTAGAATAACTTATAAATATATTTATATTATTATACCTACATTATAATTGTTTTATAGAGATTGTAGACGATGATGGAAATTGCATTATTTGTGAAAGATATTTATTGTACAAATAACCTTTCTATCGAGTCCCATCCAATTATATGTAAAATCTTCATCTATAGATCCCATTCCAAAGCTGACCATGTGTAGCTCTATATCTGGTGGCACGCCTTTCTTTTCCAACCCGGCTGTATTAAAGAAGCCAACAGCGTCGAGGCCGCTAGCCGAAAGAGCGCCTGCAACAAAGACTGACGTCATGATATTGGACTAGTAGTCGAGGATCGAAGCAGTAGGTGTAGATCGCAGTGGTCGCGGTGTATTGTGTTAGAATTAAAATTGCACATCAAACACCATTGTCGTTCTCCTTCTAAGATTACAATTTTGTTATAGACATTTGCCGTTAGAAACAGTACGGCTTTTCATTGTCTATGATAGCCACGTGTTTGTCTATAAGAGATCATAACGAATATACGGAATGTATTTTTTACCTAGCCCTAACAAATCCCACTTAGCGTTGGTCTCAAAGCTGAGTAGTTCTTCTTTCATCAGTGATATATTTTTGCTGATTAAAATCTCTGGGTAGCATATGCCGACATGGTCCTGCAGATGCTTTCCAACCGGTAAATCAGCAACCAGTGGTATCTGTCAACAGCAATTATTCTCCTCTGATTTATCACGTCTTACCTTCTCGAACACACTTGTAATTTTCTTTGCGCCTGCTGATGAAGCTTATTCTAACCGCATTCACTTTTATATGACTTCACTTTGTAATTTCACGCGAGAAAGTACAAGTATTATCGGTATTCAGCATTAATGCGTCATTACAATGCACAATGATTGGTAGCGGCGCAAGTTTCTACGCATTATGATTATATTTATTATATTATACTTACATTGAACTGGTCGAGTTGCTCTTTGGGTCCAACGCCAGACAAGAGGAGGATGTGAGGAGAGCCGATAGTTCCAGCAGAGATGATCACTTCCCGAGACGCCCTCGCCTGTTTCTTTTCGGCAGCATGTATAAACTGCAAGCCTACCGCCCTCTTGCCCTCGAACATCACCTGGTGATTATTAAAATAGGCCATAGTATCTCGTACGAATTT